AGAAGCAGAGATACCACAACTGTTTAGCAGACATTTGTTCAAATGATTGGCCTCATTTCTCTTTTTGACGAGTTGTAGTGTGGTGCTAAGAATGACAAGACTCACTGACGATGCCGACTACGATACCCAAGAAACGACTGGGAATGTGCTTTGGATATTATCATGCATACAATGGACTCCGGACTAGGTGCATTCCTCTAAGTCGTCCTACAAATATGGCCAAGTTGCGAAAACAAGGTCAAACAACTTCTATACAACGAAAGGAGACTGCGACCACAAAAAAGGCCACACCATCTTGGTCTTCAAGGAAAATTATTATTTACTCAAAAATGTGTCAGATTTATTTTGGGCTAATAAAAAATTCTGTTTCTGCTAATAAAATTGGCATATTGGGCCAGTTATAATAAAATAAAGAGGATACCCGATTTTGTCCACAGCTTGCATGTTAAATTTCAAGCACGATGCCATGCCTCTTCACAATAAATATCTGTCGAAAAATTGGACTTAAGATAAATAAGCAGTCACTTTCTTCGTATAAATGCCATAAATTATTTTAGCAGTCACTTACTCTTCATGATGTCTCTACAAACTAGTAGAATAAAGTTAAGTAGGTAATAATCGGATGTTTAATAAAGTCAAACAGTCCTTTAAATGAAAATAAGCATAATAGACTTTACAGATGAAGTTTTAAACCTCCCTCTATCATCCAACTAATCCAAAATGACGCTTAAATACAACTTTGACTTTGAAACCAAGATACTGAAAGAATAGAGCAAATATTATAGTTAAGGTCAAACTAGTAAAAAAATGTAAGCATATGAAGGAAACAGGAGCATAAAAAATAAGCCAAAATAACAATAAGGAAAATAAAAAAGTGACTAACAATAAGTCAAGGCTAAAAGCAGACTAATAAATGATCATAATCGATATTATATGGAAGCTTTGAAGTATAATAAAACGCATGCAGTATGTGACAGGGCCAGCAGAAAAAACGGAAAAAATGTGAAAAGCCAAAAAATTTATAAAAGTGAGGGGAATACAAAAGGTAAAGACAAAAACCTAAAGATAATGTAAAATAGGTTATTTAAATAACATCAAGTGACAAAAAAGTGAATAAAATGAGGTCAGTAAATACAAAATAAATCAGTTAGAGAAAAATACGTTGCAAGAGCAGAGAAGCTACAAGAAAGGAATAAAAAGATAAGGGGAAACACAAAACAAAGAAATATGAAAGAAGATTATAAAGATGAGGCAGAAGAGGAAGCGGAAGGAAAAATGAGAAGCAAAGAAAACAAGATCGGTAGTAAAAATAAAATACATAGAATGAATCAATAGAAAAACAAAGACGATTGCAGAACTAAGAGAGTATACTACTGATAGGGTCGACATCAGGAAAACAATTAATGTGGAGAAAAATTATAGATATTATTAAAAGAATCAAAAATTGTTGAGGTATAAGATGATGAGAGGAAGAACACCAGGAGATAAAAAAATTTGAAGCAAGAAGAGAGAAAAGATATCCGAGAATGTTAGGTTAATAAGGATAAAGGCGAAATGAAAAAAATTAAAGTTAAGTTAAAAGTTATCCGACCTCGTTTTTACAACTTGGTTGTGTTGTCTGGGCGGTTCAGTTGGATGCACGTTGTCCGAAGTCCTCTGCTATACTAGCTATCATAATTCCCAGAGTTGCGCCGTGGACTTGGTATATTCCCAGACGTTTCGCCGGCATCGTAGTCGGCAACATTAGTGAGTCTTTCCTTTCTCAGCACCAAGCTACAACTAGTCGAAGAGACAAGTGAAGTCAATCTCTTGACTGCTATCAAAAAAGGGGTGCCTTTTTATGCCGAATTTAGCGCAGCGTGTAGAATCTGAAGTTTTGATAGGGCTGAAGTGAGATAAGGCAGTAGAGATTAGGTAGATGTATCAGGACAAACAGAGGAGTAATAGCATAACCGTTCGGCAGAAGACTGGCAAAGGGATTGACTTCACTTGTCTCTTCGACGAGTTGTAGCTTTTGGATGAGAATGGCAATACTCACTGACGATGCCAACTACGATGTCGGAGAAACGTCTGGGAATGTATCAAGCTCCCGGTTCGAGGCTGGAAACTATGATAACTACGATAACAGACGACTTCAGACATAGTGCGCTCAACTAAGTCGCTCTGACAACACAACAAAGTTGCGAAAGGAGACTGCGAACAAAGTTGAGCCCACAACATCTTTGTCTTGTTATCTAAAATGAAGTTAGGCTTAACGAATTGGGAAAGATGGTGAAGATTTTGATGGATAATCAGATCAGCAGATGGATAGCAAAAGTAATGAGGATCAAAGGGAAAGGAGAAAATGGAGAAAAAGGATAGGAAGGAGGACCTGGTGCCCCTCCTTCAGTTTGCACCCACTTACTCGAGAACCTGAAATCTGGACTCCATCTTGCCTAGACGGAGATTCACGTATAACTCTATTCGGATAGCGAAAATCTTCTGACCTTTGGTCATCCTTGCGCCAAAACTCGACAGACCTTCGCCCTGTAACCAGTCCAGTCATTCGCTCGGATTCATCCACGTTGCCACCTCCACTTTTGCTCCTTATTCGCCTGGTGATCTCCATCTGAGAAGTCTTCATGTCGACGGAGCGTCGAAGCGAGTCGAGAGCCTCGATCAGTCTACGGGTACGCTCTCCAGCTGCAGCCACGGCATCCACCTGGCCAGAATTGCCGTTGCCGTTGCCGATTAGACGAATGTCTGCAACATTGCTGACTCTTGCGCAACCCTGGCTGATCCTATCCTCTTCCACATCTTCGTAGAGCGACTCCTCATAAACTCCGGTCGACTTTCGGCTGACTCTCCGTCGTCCAAACTCCACGTCCATTTCTTCCGGCGCCCGAGTTAAATCAACTCGACCAAGCAAGAAGTCATCATTGCACGGTTCGCCTCCACGCTCGACCTCGTCGTCATCCTCGTCGACCTCCTCGTCTTCATAGTCTTCTTCGTTGACGTTTTTGTTGGTGCCGTGGCGACTTCCGCCGAGTTCACTTCGCCTATTCAGATTACACGTTGCGCTCGCCGTGTACTCCACAGTCGGCGGAGCCCCACGTCGATGGATGATATCTTGAATCATGAATCTGTTAAAGCTGATGGCCATTGTGAAACGCTATTCATGGGATAGGTTGCCTCCACCTAAACACCGACAGAGGCAAAAAGAGGAAGGCATTCGTAGGCGCTCTCACGCACATACGAGGACAGGCAATCAAAGCTCTTGGGTTCTGAGTCAAGTTTGGCTGGTTTTATCCAATCGAAACTTCTATCATACACGCTTAATTTGGACGTTTGTCAAGAGAAGGGGAGGGACGTAATCGGATGAAGGAGGGACTTGGCGCTCCGGACCAGAGGGTGAACGAAGCCTGAACGTTTAGAGTGAGTAGGGCGAATCGACTAGAAGATGTTGGCACAAAGCTGTTTGGAAGTGTAGACAGCGAGTCTGGACGATAACTCGTCGGGTAGAC